AGAGAGAGAGAGAGAGAGAGAGAGAGAGAGAGAGAGAGAGAGAGAGAGAGAGAGAGAGACAGAGAGAGGAAAGAGAGACAGAGAGAGGGAGAGAGACTAAATGGAGTCATCCAGCTAATGTTGCATGTAGGGGCAGCATTGAAGAAGGCAGGCCATGGTTGTATCTATTTCTGCAGGTTTTCTGCATGTTTAAAGTCTTTCAGAATGAAGCATTTTAAAACAGTGTAACTAGGAGGCCTCACTCACACACTGGGTCTCTGTTCTGTCTTCTTCCTCTGATGCAGTGGCGAGACCCCAGACTTGTGCATGGCTCACATTCCACTTATCTTCCACCTAAGGGAGGAGCAGGGCCAAAACTTTTCTGTCAGCCTGCTTGCATTTGCTCAGGACTATTCACGGCAGATGTTCAACACAAACTCAGGGTTGAAGGAGATTGCACACACGTGTACACTGAGAACAAGGTCTCAATTGGACCCCTCCCCACACATGCATACTTATCACCAATGTGAAACCCAGTCGGGGGGCACACACCTTTAATCCCAGAACTCAGGAGGCAGAGATAGGCAGATCTCTGTGAGTTCAAGGCCAGCCTTGTCTATAGAGCTAGTTCCAGGGATGGCCAGGAATACACAAAAGAAACTCTGCCTTGAAAAAAAAAAAAAACAACCAATGGAAAATCCAGTTCGCTCACCTTCTCCTCTGCCTCTCTCAAGGTCCCTATCTTTCTCCTTTCTCTATGCTCTTTGATACAATGCAAGTGAAAAGATGTGTTCACAGGCCCCGGGTAATAAAGCAACAGTGTAAGAACTAGGTACAGTAGTTTACATCAGTAACCTTAGCACTTGGGGAGTAGAGGTAGGAGGATGACAAGTTCAAGACCAACCTAAGTTACATGCAGAGCTCAAGAAAACAGAAGTACAGTGCTAACACCAGAACAAGGAGCCAAATTCTCCATGCCCCAGCTCTGGTTGCTCTGGGTTCTATGGTCTTCCTTTGGATGCTTGAGAGCTGAAGGCAAGGGCATGTGTTGCCCATCTGAGCCATACTTTCTCCATTCCTAGACTGATACCTTCACCATCTATGCCATTGACCTGGGGCCTCTTACCAAGATTCGGATTCGTCATGACAACACGGGCAACAGGCCAGGCTGGTTCCTGGACAGAGTAGACATCACCGACATGAATAACGAGACCACGTGAGTGGGGATTGAGGAAAGGATGAGTCAGAGGTCATGCTTGGTGCTAAACTAGTCCTGGAGAGAGGACCAGGTGTTCAGAGGTGATGTCTGGGGGTGGGGATGGGTTGGCTGAGGGCAGGATGAGTTTGACCATAAAGGAATCTAGGGGAGTCTTGTATCTCTTCTCTCCCTTCCAGAAGGTCTTGCCCTGTCAGATAACAGTCTTCTAGAACACCAGCTCCAGCTAGTTGTAGGTGTTCATTTCACCTACAACTCTCCGTGGAAAAATCATCTTAGAGTACCCGGTTTTAATGTCTTGAGGTCTAGAGATCAGAAAAGTTTTCTAAAGGAGCCACGCAGAAACCATTTCCAGTTCTGAACAGCATCTGGTCCCTGTAGAAGGCATCCGACTAGGAAAGTTCAAATGTAGCTTTAGCTGAGTGGGTTGATGCACACTTTAATCCCAGCACTTGGGAGGCAGATGCAGGCAGGTGTCAGTGAGTTCCAGGCCAGCCTGGTCTACATAGTCAGACTGTTTCAAAAGGAAAGAACAGAAACAGCAGCCTTGAATGACACTGAAATGGGGAGCTGAGCTGTGGGCCAATCAAACATCATTTGTGGATGCTGAAATTTGAGTTTCATGCCCCAAAATGCTACTGTTCTTTTGACTTCTTCTTCTCAACTACTTACAGATGCAAATCTCTGGTTAACTTGATGTATGTAAGTGGACAGTGGGCTGGACTTGTATCTGTTGGAGACTCAGAGCCACCCTCTGACCTAGCCTGAGAAGGGGGTGTGTTGTCTTCCCCATAGATGATGGAACCTGTGCCCTAGAACCAGCTGTTGTCAGAGCCAGACCTGACATCCAGACCGCTGATGTGTTCCTACCACTAGATCACACTGCCTCTTGGATGAGGGGCTTCTCCATGTGATGTTTAGAGGAAAGCTTGCTAGCTCTGGAATGGTCTCAGAACTGCCGAGAGTCTGACAGTCTATGAGATCTAATAAGAACTTAATAAATATTCATTGAATAAAGTTCTTGGCCTACAGCCTGTTGTGTCTTGGACCACGTTCTCTTGTGTTAAGCTCCATACAGGATAAGGATAACTCATCCTATTTTCACCTAGACCCTACCTACCTGGTCATTTCAAGAGAACCTGAAGCACATGGCCTAGATTGCTCTATATTCTAGTTGCCAAAACTGTCTTGTGATGAGACCACAAGGTCCTGACCTGGGTGGATCCGCTGCCAAACTCAGGCCAGGTTACCTCTTTATGGCTGTCATTTCCTCTTCTAATAAATTGGCTTAGTGATGCCACCCTGCTTACTTACCAAGATGTCCCCGCAAGGCAAAGGCTTTTCAGCTGGGCAAGGCCAGAGTGCTTGCTGAGAGAGACAGGCTGGAAGGAGTCAGCACTCAGCTTCCCCTCCTGCTTGATCTGGGTTAGCCCCTCTCATCTGTTGATTTGACATTTCTGGTCCAGCCCAACAATTTAAAAATTACTGTAGCTTTGTAACCTATTTGAATATCTGTCAGCACTTGTCCTATTTTGTGATCCTTTAAAAATATTAACTACTCTTACCTTTTTTCCAAATCAAGACATTAAGTGATTTGAAAAAAAATCTACTCTTGAGAGTTTGATTATTCTGCCATCAAATGTGGGGAGCTGTATATTTAGAAATTAAAGTGCTACCCCCCGGGTACTTTCCCTCTCTTGTCCAACTGTTCCTTTATGCATCTCAATAATTTACAACGATTTTCTCCTCTGAAGGGCAACGGGTTCTGTTTAAATCTCTGTCCAGGCAGTGTGCGTTTGTGCTGCTCTTGTGAAGGAAGTCCTCTCCCTGGTCCTTCCTTTGCCCTTCCTTTTCTTCCTCGTCTCTCTATCCTGTCCACCCTTTTCTGTGTGTGTGTCATTTGTCTGTGCTGAGTTAATAAGAAGCCCTCTTCAGTAATGAGCTGGCTTCCACAGCCTTCTCACCAATGCTGAGCACAGCTTAATCTTGGAGAAAACAGAGAAATTCACGGAAGTCCAGAAGACAGAATCAGAACAACACATCTCCTAGAGAGACACTGCTGGCCTAGAGGGGCCTCAGGGTCTTCCTGTGCACTCTCAGCCTTTACAGGGTGGAAGATGCCCAGTAGTCAGGAGGTGAGAGAACACTGACCTCATTCCTCTTCTGTCTGGTAGCAATGTCCCTTCCAACTGGTTCTCCTGGTCCCCTCTCTGTTTCATACCTGCCCCCAAACTGCTAGCAAAATGTGGTGGCTCTTGGCTCAGAAGAGCATGAGTCTGAATCTATGGTGACATGCTACCACTTCACCCCTCCGGACACAACCTCCTGACTCACTATCTTACATCATACAGACCAGAATTCTTCAGGCCTCTGCTCCAAAGGCTACAGAGGATCCTGTCTTCTACAAGATGAATATAGCACGTCCCGCCTGGCTTACATAGTCTTTCCATCTCCTCTCCTTGCTCTCGATTTTAGCCCCAGACTGCCCTGCCCCCACCTCTGTTTTGCTCAGTTCTTGTTATCCCTTGAGCCAAACAAAAAACAGGCCTTCCCTGGGCCTTTACATTAGTGGTCTTCTCTTCTTGGTATCTTCTCCCCAGAGCGCCCTCTCCCTGTGTTTAGGCAGGTCTTTGCCCAGCTGGCAAGGCCTCATGGACCCCTGGCATGTCCTCTGTGTTCTTGTCTCTAGATCTTTTTTTTTTTTGACCTATTTAGTCATTACCATTTTCCCAAGGTGGCACACGTAAGAAATGACCTCCTCTTTGTTGTTATACTGGGGCTTCTCAGTATCTAGAAGAGAGCTAGGTCAAGAGATGGCCGAGTTCAGATTTCTGAGGGCTATTGTCATCAACAGCAGTATCTGTTATTTATTTTTTTAAAAAGTGAGAAATACCAACTATATTCATTTCTTTATTCGTTTTGGGTATTCGCTGTACATAAAGCTGTATACTTAGCCTTCTTTTTGCTTTTAGTTTGAAGCAGAGTCTCAATAAGTTACCTAGGGTGGCCTTGAACTTCTGTTCCTCCTACCTCAGCATCTCTAGCCTTGCTGGCTATTTATTCCTAATGCTTGACTGTGCAATCTTCTCAGTCAATTTTTACTTTCAAGTAAGGTGTATGTGTGTGTGTCTGAGTGTGAGTGTGTGTGTGAATGTGTGTATATGTGTGTATGTGTGTGTATGTCTGAGTATGAGTGTGTGTGTGTATATGTGTGTGTGTGTGTGTGTGTGTGTGTGTTTTAAACTGGTCCTAAGCTTTAATTCCATGTGAACCTCCTGCCCACTCAACCTGGGGTTCTTTCCTGCCCCACTCTGATCTGAGCTGTGTGGTTTGCCTCTGGCCCAGAACGCCTGCTTGCCCCTCTCCTTTATTCCTTACAAGTTCCTGCCTGTTATATCTTCTGGGTCCAGAGACCTGTTTGAGCAGGACATAATTACTCCTGTGGGAAGATGGAAGGGTCACTAGGCCCAGTCCCTTTGGACTTCCATATGTGATCACGGACCCAAGGGAACAGGGCTACACATCCGACCCTGGCCTAGCTCCAGCTCGGATCTGCTTCTGCCTGTTGGAAGCAGGTTCTAGGGGGATATTTGCTGTCTGGTGCTGCAGCTGTGAGAGAAAGCAGTGGCCTTCAGAGTCCTGCTGCTGGTGTCTCAGGGACAATGGAGCTCCACAAAGCCATTCCCTCCCTGGTGCTACATGTTCTCAGCAGGCGCCCGTGAGAGGGATGAGTCTTCCTTCCTGGCTTCTGCCCAACCCCTTCACCTCGTAGGCTCTTTCTTTGTGAGTGTCCCTGTCTCTGCCTTTATCCTTGCCCTTGCTGACTCTCATTGTCCCTGCCACAATCCACCTCTCTACCTCACCCTACCTCTCTCTCTCCTGTAATTTAGAGCTGCTGAGTCACTTGACTGAGGTACTGCCGACTCATGATTTAAGAAGAAGAGCAGGGCACATCTCTCACAGAAGCACTGCTTTCATGGTGGTCCACTCAGAGTCACCACAGTGCAGTGCCTCTTGGCCTTCCTTGCCTGTCTGAGTGTGGGGCTGACGTCACATCCTCTGGTCAGCCTCTCTAACGTTCAGAGGCACTGAGGACATGGACAGCAAGAAGAGACGCTTGGCAGGATACTGTCTACTTCAGAACTGGACTAGTTTATGAATGATACTTTCACATCAGGGCAAGGAGCAGAGACGCAGGTAGAGAACAATGGCCCCCAGCCTGCAGAGGAGCTACATTCTCAGACCCCCTGAAGCTTAGACGCTGGCGTACAGCCTCCACGAGCATAGCTGAGGTAAAAGAAAGAGAAGGAAGGAAAAAGCAAGGGCAACAGAGGATGAATTAGCAAATTCCTGCAGAGGGCATACCCTTAGCCACAGGAGCATGTTCCAGATATCAGGGGGGGATTCACAGAAAAACATGAACCACTGTGCAAAATTCAAGTGGGACTGGGAGACCTGGCCCTCCATTGATGAAATCTGATGATCCCAGAGAAGAATTTGATCAATATCACACAGGGATTAGGAGAGGTGCCCTCAGGAGACAGAGAGGTGAACTGTAGATGTCAGTCCATCGTAACCCGTCTGCCCTTTCCCAGTCCACCCTCCTCTCCAGTGCCTCCCCACTCCATTATGCTGGGTACTGCTTTTCCATGGAGAAGTATTCAGGGACATCCTCTCCCCTGATGCTGGGGTGTCACTTTCTGCTCCCTAGACACACTCTGCATCTCCCATAAGCATACCTGGTCTCTGCTGTCAAAGTCCACAGACTCCATGCATGGTTGCAGATTACCTTCCCTGTGCAGCACTGTGCCAGAGAAGCTGGACTCGAACTGCCCAAGAAGGGTGTGATAACTGCCTCATAAGTCCCTCTATTTCTATATTTTTTCCACCCAGTGTATCACAGACTAGGAGTGTCTCTGGGTTTAGTATTTATCGACATGTGGGTATAATTCTTAGACCAGGCAGAACGGGGACGCAATGCCATGGAGGGCAGGCAAGAGAGTCTCAGCCCCTGGGGGACCCTCACTCTCAGCCTGTTTTAACTCTCATATGAGATCCTTCTGAAGAGATACCCCAATCTTCCTTACACTACCCCTACAGGTACTATTTCCCATGCCAGCGCTGGCTAGCAGTTGAGGAGGATGATGGCCAGCTATCCAGGGAGCTGCTACCAGTGGACGAGTCCTACGTGCTACCCAGTGAAGATGAGGAGGGCGGGGGACAGAGTGACAATAACCCCCTTGACAACCTGGCTCTCGAACAAAAAGGTTTCTTACATTAGGGATGAGTCTGTCCATTATCTCATTTTTCCTTCTTCCCCTTCCTCTTCTTCCTCTGCCTCCTCCTCTTCTTCCTCCCCTCCTCCTCCTCTTCCTTCTTCTCTTCTTCCTTCTTCTCCCCTTCCTCCTCTTTTCTTTCCTCCTCCTCTTCCTCCTCTTCTCCCTCCACTTCATCCTCTTCTTCCTCCTCCTCCCCCTTCCCCTGATCCTCTTCTTCCTCCTCCTCTTCTTCCTCTATCTCCTCCTCTTCTTTCTCTCCCTCTATCTCCTCTCCCTTTTCTTCTTTTTCCTCCTCCCTACTCCCATCTCCCTTTCCTTTTCCTTCCTCTGAACTCTTTCATTCTTCCCTACTGATGGGCTCTGGTCATCTCCTCCTAGATATTGTAGCTGCCCTGCCCTCTCCTCCCTTCATGGAGAGAATGTAGAGGTTGGGGGTGGGGGCAGGGCATGCTCCTGTATGCCTACCATACTGTTTGGAATAAAGAGGTCCACAGCTATGAATTGTGTGCTATTCAGGAACAGAATGATTAAGCTAGCTCTGACTTTTCTTTTGTCCTCCCTCCAGGTACATTTTTAGGCCCCCTAGGCATATTTCTGAGGGGAAAAAATAGCAATATCTGGCAAGAGGCTCATGATGCCTTTCTTCATTTCCTGAAGTCCCACTCGACCTGGAGAGGTCTGAGCAGTGCTCCTGTCTGTGGGCTTCTGACACCCAGACACCTCATGTCTCTTTGTGTGCCACCTCTGTAGACCAAAAGGGCTTCCTGTAGGAACCAGGGCAGGGGCGCTTCTCTGTTGAGGAGTTCCTAGAGCTAACAACACTCCACGGAGAACAATGTGCAGAGCTGACCATGGGTTTGTTTCTGACCACGAGGCTCACAGTCACAGGACTGATACGGGGGAGGAAGTGGAGTGACAGGGCCACAGTGGTAGGACCAAGTAGCTTGTCCTTCTTCTTGGATCCCCCAGGTGATCTACAGCTCCCCTCCCTGTCCTCTCCTCCTGGCAGATAAATCAACCACATTTTCAGTGACCATAAAGACTGGGGACAAGAAGAATGCAGGGACAGATGCCAATGTCTTCATCACGCTCTTTGGCACTCAAGATAACAACGGTAAGAGAGAAGAACCCTAGTGAACTTAGCAGAAGGTTCCTCTGCTTCTATAAACTCTCCTCCATACCTCTCTCCCAGAAGAACACAGTACTGGGCCCCACAAAACAAAGGCAGTTCCTCTGTAGGCAGCCTGCTCCTGTTGCCCTTGCCCTAACTGTACCCCAGTAATCTCTTGGAAGAAAGGACTCTTTTCAAGTTCAATAAAGCTTAGCCCTGAAGGTTCCAGGGTCCCTACTATAAAGTCTTCAGAGAGTGCCGGAGTTACTCCAGCAGCTGCACAGGACCTCAGGGAAGGTGACACCTTCAATTTACTGTTGTCGCCTCCCACCCAATCCTCTTCCAGCCATTATGAACAAGTCTACGGAGGACACAATCCTTCAAGGGATCTTCATGCATTAGCTTGAAGCCCTCTGCCAGGCACCAGTAAGGAATGAGTGAACTCCATCCCTGGCTGTAAGACAAGTTAATGCAAAGCATGGCTCTGCAGCCTCGCTGACTGGTTCAAATTTCCTTTCCAGGCTGTGCCATCAGGGTCACGTTGCTTAACCATTCTGTGCCTTAGTTTTCCCCATTTTGTAAGACAGAGTTAAAGCTTTCTATGTCTTACAGAGCTCCAAGTTTTATGACACAGAACACTTAAAATTTGGAGGTCAAAGTGGCACTCAGTAAACATCCATTGTCACTATTACTTAGTAGGTTAAATAAAGCGAGCGGTGTATAATTAATGAATTAGGTCACGTCTGATAATCAATGGGTTTGTACCTGAGTCCTGTTTAAGGGAAGTGAGAGGCTTTGGCCACTGCCCTTACTCCTCCCCTCCACTCCCCCCCTGGGGTTCTGTTGTTAGCCCTGCTGCTAATCACTCAGCATTAGAGTCTCATTCAGGCCTCACAGTAGCTCTGCAGGGAAAGCGCCAGGTTACCTCTCTCTCTGACTGAGGAAATCAAGTCATAGACATTAAGCAGTTTTTAGCAAGCTCTGTCTCTCTGAAAGTTTGTGTGAGAAGGCTTTCTGCAGGAGGGACTGGGTCTGGAGCAAAGGGACTTTGAGGCAGCGTGATATCAAGGAGGTAGGAGGGGATGGTGAAGACTGAGTCCACCTCAGATTTCAGGCTGATACCAGAGCCAGCCCCAAGTTTCATGTCTAGGATAGCCAGTTGGGACACTTGAAGCTCTCTCTCTCCTTGTAAGTCCAGGTGAGTCTCCAGAATTTTTGCATGTCATGTCCCAACAGGGATTACTGATGGTCCATGAGTGTAGAGTAGGTGACTTTGTCACTGTCTCTGTCCCCATGCAGAGAACTATAAGGTTATAGAAGAAGAATCCACACTGGCTGTAAGCACTGCTGATATCTCCTGGATGAACATGGAGGAAGCTTTTCCTTAGATAGAGACTAGGGATTGCAAGCATACATGAAGGACTTTTTTAAAGATCAATAAAAGAGCAGACAGACAGACAGACACACACACACACACACATCACATACCATACACATACATGCATACACATATGTGCATGCACACCACATACACTATGCATACATGTACCACATACATACATACCACACCTACACACATATCACATACACACATCACATACCACACACATACATACACACACGTACACACCACATACATACCATACCTACACACATACCACACACACACATATACCATATACTACACATACACACATACCACATACACTAAACATACTTGTACCATACACATGTATGCCACACCTACACACATATCACACACACATATCACATATCATATACATACATACACACATACCACATACACACATACCACATACACACATACCACATACATATAACACACACATACACACACACCACTCTGTAGGAGGTGCAGCACCTTTGATGGTTTGGTGGGAGTTCAGAAAGTTGGTCATTATTAGGAAAAGGAAAGGAGTGTCGGTGAGAGCAGGTCGGGACAGTCTCAGAGCCAGTCAGTCACGATGGGCTTATCTGGTTGGCAGGAATGACCCTCCTGAAGTCCTCCAAGACCAACAGTGACAAATTTGAAAGGGACAGCATTGAAATCTTCACTGTGGAGACACTGGATCTGGGAGACCTTTGGAAAGTTAGGATCGGCCATGACAACACAGGTCTGGTTTCCCTCCCTCCTATTCCCTGTTAGAACTAGAGAACCTGTGGACCAATAACTTATGGGGTACATGCCTTCCCTAACAACACAGCTTCTGAATCTCACTTGCCCAGTAGAGCCCTGGCTCCCACAGATTCTGGGCTTGTTGATCTCCACTGAGACTTGCACACAAGTGATTTTGGAAGCCTTTCTCCAGATCTGTTTAATGGACATCTGAAAGAGATCAATAGGTCTCTAACCTGATGGCACATTGGCATCATTCAGAGCAGGAGGAGTTATTAGAACATGACTTCTATCCACCCCAGGGTCTCTGATTCAGGGGTTCTGAGAATGTGCCAATTTTTCAAGTCTCTTGGCCATACACAATTGCTAGCCTAGGGACCCCAGTTTAGGAACCAATGAGCCAGCCATACCCTCATGGAACCCACTGACAACGCAGCCAGACAAAGGAGGTGTCCATATTTTTTTCCATAGTAAAGTAGGCCTCTTTGCTGTTCCCCAAACCTCCATTTCTTAGCTTGAGTAAGAAACCCCATCCTAGAAGCTGCACTGTCAGGACTGTAGGACGAGGGTCTCTTCCTGGTCTTCATGTCCTTCCCTGAGCTGAATGAATGCTTGTTACTTCAGCTTTTATCCATCACAAATAGAATAGGGAGCTGTGAGCATCATCTCCAAGGCACCAGGATATGGGATGAGAACGTCTCCGTGAACACAAGCTTTCTGTGCATCTGTGAGCTCCTTGTCTGGAGCTGGGTCCACCCCACAGCATCCTTGATTCTCTTGCTCAGACTTGCCTGCCCTCCTGTTACCGTCTCTCAGTGCTTCCCTAAGAGCAGCAGTGGCAGGAGCCACCTTCTGCTGCTGCTCTTCTGCCAACACTGGTCCAGCCTGGAGTGGGATGCAGTTTTAGCCATGTGCACATCTTAATAAGTGTTGTCTTGACAACGCTGTCGGTGAAGGGTGCTACAAGACTGGGAGCTCAAGGAGGGAAGGGAACTGGGAGTTTCTGAGCTCATCCCCAGGAAGAACATCTGTGCATGTTCTAAATGGGCTCTCTCTCTCTCTCTCTCTCTCCAGGCAAGGCACCAGGCTGGTTTGTAGACTGGGTAGAGGTGGATGCCCCATCCCTTGGGAAGTGCATGACCTTTCCCTGTGGCCGCTGGCTGGCAAAGAATGAGGACGACGGCAGCATCGTCAGGGACCTCTTCCACGCAGAGCTCCAGACAAGGCGTTACACACCATGTAGGAACCCTCTCAGAAAGGCTGGCCCTCCTGGGGGACCCCATAACCTGTTATCCTAACTCAGCCCCAGATCCTCCTCTACAGTTGACCTGGGGCCAAACCCACCTCCGAGATTCTGTTCAGCTCTCTTATTCCTTCCTCAAATGTCCTGAGCTCTGGGGAGGTGGGGGGGATGAGAGAGTCTGTGGGCCTAGCCCTGAACCTAAAAAAGATAATATTGGATTTATTTCAAATTCTATACAATACTTACTGATGACAATACATAGTCTGGCCTCTCTGGGACTCAGTTTCCTTGTCTATAAAATAGAGACAGTGATACAGGGTAGCTATCATTAATCCAGTTGTCATGGGGAGCTATGACCTACCCACCCTGTCACAATCCTCTTTACGTTCTGCTAAGCCAGAGAAATTCCTGCTCTGAGATGTTCTGCTGGTGAGGGTCAGGAGAGAACTTGCGAGTAAATTTTCCTTTCCCTGGACAAATCAGAGGGAAGGTGGATAAGTGAAGGCCTGTCATGAAAATGTTCACACCTAATGTTCATGTGCGCAAGTCCGAACTAAGTGCTAACACCCAAACTGAAATCAGCCGAACTGTGAAAATCTGTCAGAATTTGGTGAAATCTGAAACCCACACAGAACAGTCAATTTATTTTTCTAGCTAAATAATGAATGCTACTATTTTTTTTCCTGAACAGCTCAGAATCAAACAGTATGGATCAGTCAAAGTTGGAACCAAGAGGTCATCAGTACATTTTCTAGTCCAAAACCTGAGCTGAAGTGATCTTTCTCCTAGTTAAAGCTTGGACCTAGCCCTTGCCCCAGGAACTGTCCAAAGTCCAGGTCAGACTGAACCAACACTCAGTACTGACAGGAGACACTGGGTCCTGTGTCCCATCCCCCTTCCTGCACCTAAACAGTCCACATTTTGTATTTCAGATTTGTATTTGAGATTTTGCACAGTCTGAGTACACAGTGTCTGTCCATATCTGTATCTTTGGGAATTGGTTCCAGGACCCTTGCAGGCAACAAAAGATGCTCAGATCTTTTATATGAAGTGGCAAAACATTTTAACACAACCTATAGCCGGTGAATCTTAGACTCGCATTTGCTTTTTTTAAAAAGGGTGTGGGTTGGGGAAAGAACTGAAAAGCCCTACGAGGAAGCAAGGAGGAAGAGATTGGATCAGGCTTGCTTCTGGAGAGTCTCTGGGAAGAGAGGACCCACAGCTCAGGAGCTCTAGGGTACCAGGAAGCCACATTCCCAGGGACAGTAGAAAACAGCCTCCAGCTGTTTCAGTCTGGGGTCTGAAAGAGTGTCCATGAACCACCTGACCCTATGGCTTGTGGGCAGGCAGAAGGAACTTCCTCCAGTCCATCCCAGAAGTGGCCTTTGTAGCTCAAGTCAGACAAGTTTGAGCTCAGGTTTCACCATGTGACCTGGGACAAGTCCGAAGATATCCATGCCTTTGGTGGTGCTGATCTCACTCACTGGGAACTTGTCACGTGCCAGACTCAGTACTATACCCTGGACAGCACTATAATCTCCAGGGTGCCAATGGAGTGGTATTGTGCCCATTTCATCAGAGGAGAAAGCCACAAGCCGCAGAGGGGCATGGATATCCTCATACTTCTTCAGGGAATCCTTTCCAGAACACTGGGGACAGTTCCTCATTTAAAGAAGGTTGGGATCCCCTAAAATCAGGCAGCTCCTAAAGTGGATGACTCTCTTTGAGATCCAAGAGCATAAAATAAGGTGTATTTGCTTTTGGACTCCTTTGGGGTTTTAACTTTCTTTCTTTCTTTCTTTCTTTCTTTCTTTCTTTCTTTCTTCCTTCCTTCCTTCCTTCCTTCCTTTCTTTCGTCCTTCCTTCCTTCCTTCCTTCCTTCCTTCCTTCCTTCCTTCCTTCCTTTCTTCCTCCTCTCCTTCCTTCTCTCCTTCTGCTCTTTGGTAATGTATGTGATACATTATGTATGTATGGTGCAGAGTTTGTACTTGAGAGCATAGGTGTGTGTACATACATTGTGACTGCATGTTAAAGTCAGAAGATGTTGGGTGTCTCCTCAATTGCTTTGTACCTTTTATTTTTCAAGATAGGGTCCCTCTCACTGAACCTGAAGCTCTCATTAATTTTAGGGGTCCACCCATCACTGTCTTAGCCCCCAATGCTGGTGTTACAGACATGTGACACAGTGCCTAGCTTTTGTATGTGGGTTCTGGGGGTCTGAATTCAGATCCTCCTCCTTGCATGACAGACACTTTACTGAGCCCTCTTCCCAGTCTGTATTCATATTCTCTCTCTCTCTCTCTCTCTCTCTCTCTCTCTCTCTCTCTCTCTCTTCTGGCCAGCAATAGAAATAGATGAGTATATTTATTCATATACTTGCATTCCAAATATGTGAGGAAAGTTACCTCACTCTGTGTGGTGTGTGGTAGCCCTCTCTGTTCAGAATACTGCTGACTGCTCACTAACCTTTCATAACCTGCTGATGAATCTCACCCTGCAGTTGACACTGTTGTTTTAGATAAACAGCTTCAAACCGGTAGTGTAAGGTGTGAATCAGACCCACCCCACAGACAACCTGAAGAGGAACTTAGGAATTTTTATTAGTCAGTCCCTCAGAGAGCTCCTGGAGTGAAGATCCTCAGCCCAAATGGAGACACTTTGGTCACTTGTCATGGAGCAGCTGCACTGGGAAGTTGCTTGCCAACAGCTCTAATGTGCCAGCTCTCCTTTAAGGGCAGACAGTCCTGTAGCTATGGAATAAACCCTAGAGAATCCCTCTCCTCTTCCTTCTTCTCCCCCTCCTCCTTCTCCCCCTCCTCCTTCTCCTCTTCCTTTTCCTCCTCCTCCTCCTCCTCTTTTTCTCCCTCCTGATCACTCCCCTATAAAAAACATCTACCAAGCCAGGGCAGCTGAATGAGAAGCCAGGTGTGACGTGGATTGGTTCAAGAGAGTTTGTCAGTTTAGAGCAAATGAGGGGCTGAGAGCAAAAGACAGAATGAGAAGAGAATGCGATCTTGTCACTGTAGCCTGGCTCTCCTGATTGACAGTTTGCCTCTGAAACCCAAAGCTCTGGGTTACAGAATATGGCTAAGCCTCGTGGTGAGTGCACTTCAGTGAAAACAAAGGCTCTCCACTAACATGTCCAGGCCACACCAGTCATCAAGTCAGGTCCTAGATTTGGGCTTGAGCTTTTCAAATTTCATAACCTATGTCTTCAGCCAGTCTGCCATAGTAAATCCACTGAAGGATCCAGGGCTGTCTCTGGGTACTAGGCATGAGAAGCTCCCCATAAAAGGCCACCGAGGCTATAAAAAACTCAGTCTCACCTACAATATCTTCTGTTTTTTTCTTGCCACCCTGGCCTTGCCCTCTGCCATCCCTTTCAGTTGTCCCTTATGAAATCACCCTCTACACCAGTGATGTCTTCGCTGCTGGGACAGACGCCAATATCTTCATAGTCATCTACGGCTGTGATGCCGTGTGCACCCGGCAGAAGTTCCTGTGTACCAACAAGAGGGAACAGAAGCTGTTCTTCGAGAGGAAGTCGGCCTCCCGCTTTATTGTGGAGGTACCTGGCTCCTTGCACTGTCACAGAGGGGCAGGATCAGAGTAGCCCTTCATCTAGATGGGCCACAGCGAATGGGAGATGAGCAATTTGTTCAGTCTCTCTGAACGTCCATATGTCCAGCCAGACAGGAGGATGGTCAAGCTAGCCAGGCCTTTTAGGACAAGTTGTCAGGATTAAAGGTGATGACCAGAACCTAGAGAGGCAGACATACAACAGGAGGGTATTAAAGCCCATGTCCACAGCAACCCACCTACTCCAACAAGGCCACACCCACTCCAACAAAGCCACACCTCCTAATAGTGTCACTCCCTAGGCCAAGCATATACAAACTAACACATTCTACTCCCTGGCTTCCATAGGCTTGTGCAAACACATGAGTCTATAAGGGCCGTACTTACCCATAGCATAATAAAAAATACATTTAGTCCAACTTCCAAAGTCCCCATAGTCTACAGGAGTCTCAACAATGTTAAGAGTCTAAAGATCAAATTCTCATCTGATATTCATCAAATCACTTCACTGTAATCCCCAAAGCAAGACAGGAAACCAGCTGGGCAAACTCCAAACTCTGCATTTCCATATCTGATGTCAAAGAGGTCTTCGGAACTCCAATTCCTTTTTCATCTTGGTTGACTGCAATAAACTTTTTTTTTTCCTGGGATGGTTCCACTCCCTGTTAACAGCTTTCCTCAGCAGATAGCCCACAGCTCTGGCATCTCAAAATTCGTGGGGTCTCCAAGGCAACTTCAATGTTACAGCTTCTTGTTTCAATATCTGGGATCCACACATGATCTTCTGGGCTCTTCCAAAGGGCTGGAGTCACTTCTCCAGGTCTGCCATCTGGAACAATCTAAGCTCAGGTTGATCCACTCCTCTGCCGCTGCTGTTCTTGGTGATCATCCCATGGTACTGGCATCTCTAATACACTGGGGTCTTATATTGCAACAAGGCTTCACCAATAACCTCTCACAGGCTCTCTTCATGATGCCAAGCCTCAACTCCTTTGCATGACCCCTTTAGTCCTGAGCCATCAACTGCAACTGAGGCTGCACCTTCACCAATGGCTTCCCATGGCCTCTCACAGTGCCAAGCCTCAGCTGCTCTCCATGACCCCTTCATGTCTTCAAAACCAGTACCACCTGGGTGACTCTTACACATTACCAAGTGCAGCTGCAGCACAAGGTACAACCTTGACTATCTCTGGAACTCAGCTTCTTTGTGCTCTCAGAAAACACTTCCCAGAAGATTTCACCTCAGTGATGCTGGTCTCTTCTTAATCACTGCTCATTTCTTAGCTCCAGCTAACCAGCATCAGTTGTCCCAGTAGTCCCCTCTATTCTGGACTCTAAAGCCAGAGCCATGTGGCCAAAGCTGCTGAGTTTTTCTCCTTCCTGTGGCTGGAACATGATCCCCCATTATTATCTTACCAGCTTTCTGTTTCCCAACTCCCTCACTGCCTAAGCTTGACTGTCCTGGAACTTGCTCTGTTGATTGACTTTGAACTCAGAGATCTGCATGGCTTTGTCTCCTGGGATTAAAAGTGTGTAGTACCATGCCTGAACCTAAACTTAGCTGGGTGATATCTTGCCCTAAAGTCACATTCTCTTAATCTCCTAGAACATAGGATTCAGCTCTACTTCCCTTCCTGATGCCCCTTTAATACTTGAACCATATATTTTATATTTTTCCTTTCTAAGCTTGCTCTGATTGTTCAAAATGCTCTTCATGAGACTTAACCAGAAAATAAAGTCTCTGGTGACCTTTTCTGAGACTTCCTTTGTCAATGCAATTAATATAAATCGCTTTACCTTAGCCTCTGGTAGACTCTTTAGACAAGGGCAGAAAGCAGTCACATTCTTCAAAATACTACAAAACAGTCTCCATGCCACGTGCTAAAATTCTCCACTAAAGCCTCTTAGGTCAAGTCTGCACAGTTCAAATCACTCTCAGCAACAGAGTCTTCCATATTCCTACTAGGATAGCCCAATAAGTCCCATTTAAAGCATTCCACCACTTTCCAAATCCAAAGTTCCAAAATCCACATTCTTCCAAACAAAAGCATGGTCAGGCCTATCACAGCAATACCCCAGTCCTTGGTACTAACTACTGTCCTAGTGTAAGTTTTACTGCTGTGAACAGACACCATGACCAAGGCAACTCTTATAAAGACAACATTTAAGTGGGGCTGGCTTACAGGTTCAGAAGTTCAGTCCGTTTTTATCAAGGTAGGAGCATGACAACATCCAGCCATACGTGGGCATAGAATAGCCTCTTGTTCTGAAAGCAGCTAGCAAAAGACTGGTTTCCAGGCAGCTGGGATGAGGGTATTAAAGCCCATATCCAAAGTGACACACCTACTCCAACAAGGCTACACCTCCTAGTAGTGCCACTCCCTGGGCCAAGCCTATACAAACCATCATATTCAGTGAGTTAGGGTCCCAGTAGTTCAGCTCCAGAGCCTTCTTGGACAATACCTTCATCCCTCCCAAAGGAGAATGCCAGGACTTTTTCTGATACCCATGTCTTCTGAGCCCATCTATGAGGCCCACCACCCCTGACCAGCGGTCCTCTGAAAGCCTCTTTGCTGTCTATGGTGTCACAGACAAGATGGTTCCCTGATACAAGCAACTACGAGCTTGCCGTAAGACTACGTTTACAGAAGTGCCTTTGAAGCTGCACGTCCCAAACCTCAAAGCCCCTAGGTGGAAGATGAGCTGGGGACCATTTATTTTCTGGTCACTTCAGGTGGTGATGTGGTCAGTTGAGATGTGGATCATAGCCTTCACGTGAGGCATCTGTACTTCTCTGATAGGTAATCGTAAGATCCATTAAGATCTCTGCAGCCCTGACATCACCTGGGAGCACTCATCTTTGTTTAGTTGCTCTGGGTCCTCTGAGCTTGCAAGGCCTCTAAGGACCACTGTGGCCTTAGATTCTGTTTTCTGCTTCAGAGCAGGTGACAGGTAGTGGAGCATCTCAGGAGGGCGGCAACGTCACAGCAGCTGTGGCATCCTTGTCTATCTATCGAGTAGCAAGGTGCTTGGCTGGGGACTTAGAGCTAGAGAACAGGTGATAAAGAGAGCCATGCTGGGCTGGAGAGATGGCTTAGTGGTTAAGAGCACTGGCTGCTCTTCCAGAGGTCCTGAGTTCAATTCCCAACAACCACACGGTGACTCACAACCATCTGTAATGGAAAAGGATGGCCTCTTCTGCTGTGTCTAAAGAGAGCAGTAGTGTAATCATATACATAAAATGAATAAATCTTGAGAGAGAGAGAGAGAGAGAGAGAGAGAGAGAGAGAGAGAGAGAGAG